CTTTCTTTCTTTTCTTATATAAAATAACTTGATTACGCAATGAGAGAGTGAACATTCAACTTTTTTTTTTTTTTTTTTTAATTCGCCAGTTGAATTTAAAATTGAACCGTGGTATAATATAATGATATAAAGTTTTAAATTAACGAGAAATAATAATAATAATAATACATATCATCATCATCATCGGTTAATTAAATGTCTTTAATAATAAATGAATATTATTATTATTATTATATCAAAAACAACCATCCCGTGTAATTTTTTTTTTTTTTTTAATATTTACACGTTAAATTTTCTCGAAAACGTTTGAAAATACAAACGAAATCCTTATTACGGTACTTGGGATGTTAAAAAAAAATTAAAATTATAAATTTAAATTAATGAGTGTTAATCTTTCTCTCTCTCTCTCTCTCTCTCACACACACACACACACACATTTACCATATGAATCGAGTTTTTTTTCTTTCCCGACTTGAAATCGGCAAGAAATTTACTTTGCGTTATTTTTTAAAAAAATATACATTTTATATATTTAACTTATGGGGAATGAATTTCATTTTTAAAAAAATTTGTTACGAGTAAAATTCAACGTAAAAAACTTTCACTCTTCGCGTAAATTGTTTTAAAACCTTTTCCTGTTTATTATTATTATTATTATTTTAATTACTTTTATATTTTACTGTTGAGCCCTTTTTTCGCGTATGTAACACATCCCGTTATTATTATTATTATTTTAATTCGTATTTAATATTTTTTTTAAATATAATTACGTAAAATTATTTAACATGTTAAAAAAAAAAACATTGTTTATTGTTTTTTTACATAAACGATGATTTTTTTTGAATGAATAAAAAAGTTTTGAAACATTTGCAATACAAATTTTTTTTTTTGTTAGTGGTCAGTTGTCGTAACCCAGAGAAACGAATAATAATAATAATAATAAACAAAATGAAGATTTAATAAAAGAAAAAAATCGAGTAAGGATTATAAAAATGTTTTTTTTTTTTTTTTTAAAATGTTTAATAACTTCTTATTTAATTAAATGTCGATTAATAAATAAATAAATAAATAAAAAATCAAGTTTGTTACGATGTTTAAATTTTCCTAACAATTTTAATCGAAAAAAAAATCGCAAACTTGAGTTAAGAAAGAAAGAAAAAATTTTGCTCGTTTTTTTTACCGAACCTGAATTCGCTTCCTTATTTTTTTTTTTTTTATTTCTTTTTCATAAAAGTATTACTACTACTACTACTACTACTACTACCACCACTACCTGCTTTTATCGTATTGTTTAAGTTATGTAACGAATGAAAAAAAAAAAAAGAAAAATGTAATTTGATTACGTAATAAATAAATAATTAATAATTATTATTATTATTATTTTTCAAAACAATATTAATGGCGAAGTAAATACAAAAATAATAATAATAATTTTACCATTATTATTATTATTTTGTTTTTTTCTGTAATGCGGCGTTATAGCCCAGGAAATACACTTAATAAATGTTTTTTTAAACAAAAAATCTCACAGAATTA